CTGGAATCACACGACGCGATTCAAACAACACAGAAAAGGATTGAACAACTTTAGCTAACCAGCCTCGCTAGCAGGGTTAGCATTCCACAGAGTTAGCAGCGTAGCTAGCGGCTGCTGCAGCTCACAGTTCGGACGCTCAGACTGAATGCGATCGTCCTCACAGAGACAAACTGATCGCCATCAATACTTACATGGCTGCTGGCTGATCAATACTAGTTTCCCAGGTCGTGTCCCGCTCGTCTTCACAGACTCAGTTCGTATCCGCAACGATTCACGCGTGGATCGAGCTACTTCCGGGTCAACGAGAACGCGCCTCTTGCCGCAAGAATAATTTCCGGGTCATTGCGGTTCTACTGAAAAACACAAATAAACGTGTGTTTAAGATCCGGTTTGTGTTCCTGTGGGTGAATCTACTTTGTTTATATGTATAGTACATCCTGCTGCTTCACACTGGCACTGGTGGGAAGTAACTACATTTATCACTCGTTCCCCAGAATTTACATTTCATTCTACTTCATTACAATTCAGAGGTAAGTGATGTAAGAATAAGAATAACTGATTGTTCACTGTTTTGCAGAATTATTATTTGTCAAATTTGAGTTCGAATTTAAAATAAAACATAACAAGTTATAACCTATAAAATTGCTCATACCTCCATCCTGATCTCTCTGAGGGGCCTGTTTATTGGGCCCCTGTTGGCCCCCTTAGGGACCAGCCAGAGCTCTAAACTACTGGAATCAATGTCAATTAATCAGTCAACTGATTAGTAATATAAGGTAATTTGCATCAATTATGATGATGATTTATTATTTGAGTGATTTCTTTATACAAACATGACAGCCTATTTTGAGTATTATAGACTGCTGGTAAATCTGAGTTCCCTCGGGCTTAGTCTAATAATAATAATATTTTCCCACAGTATTGTCTGTAATTTTAGAGATCAATCAATAATTATGAAAAACTATTATTAGATACTATTGATACAATAGTTGATATTATAATATTTTAGTGAAATAATATGACCCACACACACACACACACACACACACACACACACACACACACACAGATGATATTCTTCTCCAGAACTTTTAAACAACTTTGCAATTAATTAAATTATGGATACAGGTTAAAGACAAGGCCCATTGACAGCTGCATACTTTGCCCAGTTGGCTGGTCTAAATACTAAAACATTAAAATATTAATCACACAATCAATGCATCAGATCATCGAAGATAACAATACTCTATATAATATCTGTATAACACTGTCAGGGTCCACATTGTACAACATAATGCGTTGACGACAGTTTTAAATTTGAAACCACATTTTTCTGATAATACAGCATGTACTGTCTGTCACTTAATTTTCAATGAAGGAATCTTGTAATAGAGTTGCTGCATATTTCACTGCTGTTAGTCGATCATAAGGGAATTTGTTGGTGAAGATGAGACGGGAAAGTGATGAGACATAGATTTCCTGATTCATGATCAATAAAAAGACTTAGTTCTTCTAATTCAGGGTGGATCACAGTTTCCTGAAGTTTCTCATGATCATTAACTAAACTTCCTGACCTGTATCTGCATTATCATATACTCTGCAGTGCTGCCGTTTGATTGGCTGACTGGGTTATAGAATAAATAAGCAGGTGTACAGGTGTTCTCTGGTAAAGTGCTCGGTGATTTAACAAACTTAACTCTCTACAGGAATTGTCACAGGAAAAGAGATGGCAGAGGGAGCAGCCAAGGTGAGACGACAGACCCAAACAGGCAAGTCTTTGTTTTCCTCTTTAACACATCAAGAACGAGAGCAAAGTGTGTGTGTGTGAAGGAGAGAGAGGGATGTGGGCTACACTATCTACACAGCCGAAATGAGACATTGAGAGATTGGCTTTCTGGCAAGAGACAGACAGACGCCTGAGGGTGTATAACCCACCCACCTTATTTCAAAAGGTGGCAGGTCTACCTGTGGAGGCCACTTGCTGCAGATAATGGCAGCCTGTGTGCTGCTGAGTGAGACAAGTGTGTGGGGATTGATTTCCAGAGCCGGACCATATCTTAACAGGGCACACCTAGCTCAGCAAAAAGACTAAACATCTTAAACTGTAGAGCAGTGGGCCTGTAAACTGAGCTCAGAGCAGCTTTACTTTCCATTTGATGGAACCGAAGTTACCTGAAAAACACTTTCACCTAATCTACAACGGTGGAATCTGATAAAGAGAAGAAGGAAATATAACGAAATAGCCGATAATGTGGAGGATTTTCTAACAAATGCACTTATTCATATGATGGTCCAAATAAATGTCTTTCTTTGTAGACTGTATGACAAGTTTGAGACAGTGACATGATGCTTTACTGTCGCATGGTCAGTCGTTGTTTGCTGGGGGCTGTGCTCTAGTTTTCTGTTATGTGTGCCCAATTCGTTTTTTCTGTTTGTCAAACTAACATATTGTTCTCACAGTCATATTTTGAAGAATCAAATAAAGCCCTGTTCCAGAGACAACACCTGTTCTTTGCTCAGGGCACTTTCATGTTCCACAGTGCACAGGACAGATGTCTTCTTTTGGATAATCTATCATTTTCCCAATTCCACCAAGGTTTGCATTTCTATATTTGTTCGCAGGATTACGCAAAAACAACTAGTTGCAGCACGAAACTTGGTTGAAGGATGCGCTATGGGCCAGGGAAGAACCCATTACCTTTCTGGTGCAGAGCTGAATCCAAGAATATTTTCCCCACTTTTTTTAGCATTGTAAATTAAGGTGTTACATTTCTCAAGAAATAGTGTCAAGGTCTTTATGAATAAATCATAAGGTGTACAGTGCTAATATGTATGAAGAGATGACATTTTGTGGAAATCAATGCTCCAGATTTTTGTGACAAGATTCTTTTGCTGGGGGGGATTTTTATTTGGGTACTATTTGGTAACAAAAAGAGCAGGAACCTAAATTTTAGGTTTTTCAAATTGATATTCCCCTTTGATTTTCTGGGTAGGTGTATTTTGAGATAAAAAATAACATAATTTTCTCATCTTTTGGTTTGTTCCTTACAGCAAAATCAGAGATGGGCTATTTTATGTGGGTTTAATGTGAGCATTTTGCAGAACACGTTATCTACCTGATCTCAATATGCAATATGGTGATGAAGAGGCAGCGTTAGCGGAGGTATGTGCCCTTCTTCTTCTTCTTAATTTTACAATTAATCTTTCTTGGCAAGAGTAAAATATCAATCTGTCAATATAAGAATTAAAAGAGCCAAACCGCCAAACCGCCACCCCCTTTTCTTCAAAACAAAAAGATCACATCTCTTCCCTTTTTGTGACTCCCGAATTCTTATCATTTTTTTTACTGTCCCTTAGTTTAACTATTACTTCTTTCACTGTATACTGATGATGGTGGCAGAATGTCTGTATTTCTTCATTTAAGCAGATGAGCAGCAACAGATTTTAAGCTGTGTGGTGATTAGTCGAGCTGTCAAAGGAGGGATGGTTATTTATTACACTATAACAAACAGTATCTTCTTACTCCTGCCCCAGGGAACACAACTCATACATCTCACAACCTGTTGATTCACATCTCTGTCCCCCTGCGTTCACACTTACTCACGCCAGTAATGAAAATATTATTATCTTCCCATCTATCTAGACCGGGAGTTTGCCAACAGTGGAGTTACCTGATCCAGCCCAGTCTGCTTTAACCACAGGCGACTGTGAATGTGACTGGGCTTGGAGAGGTGATGGGTTTGGGGTCTCGTGATACAAAGAGTCTTCTGTTGAAGAAGGGAGGCAGCCGTCCAAAGAGCTGTTCTGTAATCTGTATTTATCCCCACAAGAACATCTATGTTGGTTTTTTTTTTAAATTTCTGTCAGAGGGTGGAGAGGTGAGGGAAAGTTTAACAGGCTGTGATGTCAGAGCAGATTGAAACATAAGTCAGATCAATAAGATCTACCTGTTGAAGTGACATCACTGTCTGTTGTACATTTCAACTGTTCTTCCTCCAAGAAAAAAATAAAATATGGATCACAAGGGCTCATCACTTAATTAATTGAATCTATTCATGTGTGGGCCTCAAACCTCCAGAGTGAACAACATTAAATAACACAGCCACATAAGAACATTTAACAACTGTACAGGTTTAATGAGGTCAAGGGAAAACACAATTAAAACAGCATTATTTATTGTCTAATTAAATGTAGGCTAATGAAAACAGGGATGTGATGTTATTTAGTTGCAAAATTAACTAAAGGAGCAGATTAATTGTCATTTAATATTATTATTTTTACACAAACATTACTAATTTTTACTTTATTCATTTTGAGAGGATTTTACCTTCTTGGATTAAGGAAAACGATCTTTTAAAATGAACTCCACAGTACATAACTTTCACAACGGTTCAGTTGCTTTTAAAATGTGTTGCTTAACCTGCTGGGTAAAATAACTCACGTCAGACACAGTCATAATTTRTTTTTTTTTAATTATTATTTTAGAAGTAAAATTTTTGTATGGCGTTTTTCAGTAGATCATTTCATAGGATGACATTGGGCCTAAAACAGTGACGCGCAGACATCACTTCAGTTTTTATACTGAAAATGATGATCAATGAAAAGCGTTGGCATAAATAAAGATTATTTCTAAAACATGTACATAGATTCAGTTGACAGATTCAGACCAGGTGGTTGTTTCGGAGCAACTTGCGCAAAAACACAATTTTAAATGAGGCTTGTTAGAAATTTTGAGATTCAATTATTGCGAGATTATACGAGTTATGCGTCATTTTCATTGATTTGACACAAAATTCTCAACACATGCTTTGATGAAATAATAGAAATCTAGTGCAAATACGTTTCAATTCACATTCCTTTAACTATCTTAGCACAAAGTAATTATGAGGGGAAATTGTTACGCTTTTCAAACTCAAGAAATGTAAATATGCAGGTTCTCTTAGGTGTGATATTCGTTGTTCATCTAAATTCTACAGTAATATTTTAAAGGTTATTGGTCATTGATTGTTATGACAGTTGCTCTATTTTTCTATATTCCAGGACGAAGGAGGACTTGGACTGAACTGAGGACAATAGTTTGGAAAGTCGTTACAGCATTCCCCGAGCTCTGAGTGGCCACGACCCTTGGATAAAAAATGTCCCGGAGACGTCTTGGCCGCTGCGAACTCATCTTGGCACGGGCTAAAAGTTGCGGTGCACGGCATTTGATGCGAGTAAAAGTAGCTGGCTTGTCCGGAGATCATGTTAAAAGAACACGGGTCCGACAGCGGCAGCGTGCACGGATGTGGGATGGACGCGGAGAACGCGGTGCAGGCTGCGCCGATCTGGCGGCGGGATTGCGCGCAGCTGACTCCGATGTAGGACATCCCCTGGCGCGTCTGCACGAAACGGTCTGCGTCCGCGGCTGAACTTGCTGCGCTCAACCGGGACCGCTGTGACACAACCGACGCGGCGTGGTTGGAGAAGTGAGGGTGAGCGCTCAGGTAAGTCCCTGCGCCTGAAAGGCTGGTGCGCACCGGTGGTTGTAGGGGCAGAAACGGTGGCACCGGCCAGTAAAACGAACCCGCTGCGGCCAAGGTCACGCTGGTCGCGGTACTGGCGGACAGCAGACGACCTCCTCCTCCGCCTCGCTTCAGGGCGAGCTTGGTCCTGGAACCAGACGCGGTCCTGCGCCGGAGTTTCCCTGACGCGCCACCGATGAAGACGTCCTCGCTGCAGGGGTCCAGCATCCAGTAGTTGCCTTTGCCCGGGTCGTCGTAGTGGCGCGGCACTTTAACGAAACACTTGTTCAGACTCAGGTTGTGCCTGATTGAATTCTGCCAGCCCTGTCTGTTCTGTCGGTAGTAGGGGAAGTTGTCCATGATGAACTCATAGATGCCGTTGAGCGTGAGCCTTCGCTCCGGGCTCTGGCGAATCGCCATCATGATGAGCGCGTTGTAGCTGAAAGGAGGCTTCTCACCTTTTAAGCTTTCCTCGGCTCCAACATTGTGCTTTGATTCATCCTTATTTCCTTCTCGTTTCCCTGTCGCAGTCGCCTCTTTACTCTCTATTTTAGTGCACTGTTTGGGAGTTTCACACTTTATGTCGCTCTCACACTTCTCTGGACTGGATCTCCCTGGATGCGCCATTACGCGCAGTTTCTGGGACGCAGACGGGGACTCCTGGTCGCTCATCACCCCTTCTCGTCTCCACAACAGGCTGCTGATGCTGAACGAAGACTTGTGGAACAATCGCTCTGCAGAACTTTTCAATTTGTCTTCCATCTCAAGGGTTGGAAGTTGCTCCTAAAGACCTTAAAAGCTGTTGGAGGATCGGAGCAGAGCTGCTCAGTGAGCGCGCAGAGAGAAGAGGCGCTGCATTCAGAGCCGTGAGGAGCCAAAGACGCACTGGCCAGACAGCGTGACAACAAATGCGCATGATCAGCAACCCGGGGCACGTTACCCGCAAAAAGTAGTGCATTACTTTGATACTGCAAGGCAAAATATCTGGGGGAGCAAATTGAGCATGATCCAGACTTCCCATCTTCATTTTAGAACAAAACAACAAATTGATTCCAAAGTTTTTCTCCATATAGCTACACCAGATTCCCAAGATGATAATGCATCTAAATGTTTAAAATGAACACGTAGGCTACCCTTTACTTCTACGTCATATTTTAAGCATAATAGTAAACTCAATTATAAATCAGCAGGTAACGGATAATGTGGCATGTTCACAGACCGTGCCAGGAGACCCTTGGGATGAAAAATGAAATGTGTGTGCTGTCAATCTGTGTGACTGATCGGTGAACTCTGCAGCTTCAATTATAACACTTCCGTGACTCATGAAACTCAACCCCCTTACACGCACCTTGCCCTCTGGGCTGCAGGCCTCATCCTCTCCCCTCGTTCCTCTGTGCAGCTCCTTGTTGACACCATCATCTGGCAAAAAAACAAAACACTGATTAAAAGAAAGGAGGAGGAGGTGAAGCCTGAACCATCATGTCGGTAATAAGACAAACACTCATTTACCAGCAAAGGACAAGATGCAAAAATGGATGAGAAATAAATACACCATGACTGTAGTTTGTACATATCACATGCTCTTTATAATGTAGTCCAAATAAATAATAGAAAGATATAACTGATATGTGCATATGTATATTTGAGTTCTTTACATGATATGTACTTGATACATATTAAATACTATAACACAGACTCTAAATAAACAGAAGCCTTCTTTGTAAAGCCAAACATATGATTGTAAAGTTACTTCACACCTAAAAATCGGCAGACAACTCACAACAAATACTGGAATTTATCAGTGTTGATTTAACATGTGTCCCCGTGACATTCAGCCATCACCCTGAAACTGAAGCAGCTGAATGGAATTCAGCCACATTTCATTTTACCCATAGTGGAGTGGTGCAAATGTTTTTCAGAGCATCCCATCCAATAAAGGATAAAAGCCATGTGTTATAAACAGTGACATGTAAATAGTTTTGCATCAATACTGGCTCACAGACAGGGAGACAGATAATTATGGATTTTCACTCAACTATTTCTTGTTCTCCCCACACATGAACATTTGACACTAATTCTTTCATCTTGCAAGTTGTCCATGCACCAGCAGTTTCTTTAGTTAACTGTCACTTGGAACAGCTGATTTGCAACGGCAGTAGGCTGATTAAAAAAAGAAGTCAGTATGCTCTGTATGGCCATGTTTATGCTGCACTACCGCCTTTGCTTTTCTACTGTAACATGTCACAATGTGCGCTGTGAAAAAGAAAAGGCCTTGGGCTTTTCCCATAAAACGGCAGCTCATGACCTCAGAAGTGAATGGAGCATGTTCAGACAGCCGACTAACATTTTATTGTCGTCCCCGGGCTCAGTAAATACAAAAGAGTTCAAAAGCTTTAACTGTAAATGATGCTACAGAACAAACATGCACAGGTAGCGATGTTGCTGCAACTCCTGCTAATCAATGCAAGCTGTTTCTTATTCAGTAGCAGAGGTTTGATGTCCCTTTTGTCTGAGGCCCCCAATGTCTCTCGAAACACCCCTGCACACATTCTTTGTGTTGTGTATTTTTCTGATGACGTTTATGAAACACTCCCCCTGCCATGTCTGTGCTCTTTCTTACATTCACCTGTGCCCGAGACTTGACCTTTTCCCAAATCATGAAGTATCAGTTACATTTTCAGGTATAAGGTTAAGGTGACATAACCTTACCTGAAAAGACAAACACCTGAAAAACACCATACGATATGCCTATTTTCATGATATATGAGTATATTTATGTGTGTATGTATATATATATATACTATTTGAGTTATGTAAGTGTTTATGACACTGCAAAAAATAAAGTTTGTGCATTGAAATCAGTCCTGATACTAAAATTGATAAAAACGGATTCTAAAGGATTTTCCAACAGTAAAAGCCAGTGCAGGCTCTGAAAGGGGCAAAGGTCATAGAGAAAAGAAAAAACAATATAGATTAGATGTATTTGTGACCACTCACAGTAGAAAGTATGGACAATTTCTTCTACTATAAAAGTAACAGGCCTGAACCACCTTAGACAACAGGCCATGCTTTACCATACTTATATTTCAAATCTTGTTAATTTCATCAAAGCTGTAGTAACTTGTTACGCTGGGTGTTTTACTGGGTCATACACCAGACATCAGGCGTGACGACCAGAACAACACATATAAACTGTTACCATTATAACCTCCCTTCGGTCAATTCGATAGGGGCCTCCCTCTATAATCCCCTGTTCTCACAAGTGAGCACTTGCTGGGAATGTTTCAGGCGCTGCAGAGAGCAGGCACTGCTGTCTCAACACTTGTAATCCCCATAGATGGTTTTCTCTGTTCTCTCCTCCACACAAAGACAACCTGTTGGCCTTTATAAAACACATACATTGTTATTTTAATTCATTCCGTTAGAGGACTACTGCTCAAGTGTTTGTGACCCAGATGGTGAAATCCAAGCAGCAGCGCAACGCAATGGTTAAACTTTGACCTTTTTGGTCACAGAGAGAATTCCCCACAGGAATTAACATCTACCTACTTATTCCACAAATGTCTTTTTGTCTGCATGTGGAATAGATATCTCGACTTCACACTTGCCATGTATATTCATTATGGCCCAGGGAAGTGCTGTATCTAATTAATAATAATAATGACAATAATAATAATTAACAGCTTTGACTGTTGAACATGTCATCCTCTAAAAACCTACAGTGGTGGTCTGTCATGGCAGCAGCACTCACAGAATCACTTCCTGTTTGGCAATTTAGTAAAGTAAAAACACAACGTGCAGTACTTAAAAATGAATTACAGAGATCTTATTATGAAAAGTTGTTAACATGAGTCTGAAGATTGTGTCGCTTACTTAACAGACCTCTGAAATAGCTGACGTGTAACATACGAAAAAATACTAAAGTTCAATAAAACGTTCAAAATAATATATGAGGCTCATGCCTGAAAAGAAATGAAGCAAATTCAGTTTAATTTTATAAAAAAACTAAATTTTCACTACAGATAAACCAGGTAGGATTACTGCAGTTTTCTACCTTCACTCTGCATCATACACTGTAAATGAAAAGCTCTCCTCACAAACAATTAAAAAATGACAGTATATTGTAGAGCTGTCTCACCAATGACGAGGAATAATTATGAATTATCTCCAGAGCATTAACACAGGCCAAGAAAACAGCCCTTCCCAAATATGCAGGTTTACAACGCATACTGCATTAGTTTTATCAATTTATCAAATAATCTGAATATTAGTAACAACTGGTATTTATTTCCAAAAGCTTGCTGTAAGAATGGGTTAAATTCTAGGAAATGTTTAGTTTGCACCGCAGTCCTCTGACAACAATATAAAACAAAGTATTCCAAATTTAAAATGTGTCGTATACCACAAAAATATTGCACTTGGATTCAGAAAAAAAAAATTCTGACAGTCTTTTAACATATGTTAAATTACAGTCAACATTTTGTCCTTCTTGGCTGGGGGAGCCTTTTGGTGTCATCTTCCCATGGTCTCAGTGTTCATATTGCACATATCTCTTTTTAGTTTTTAGAATATCTTTATACTGGTCCCTATTTTTTTATTTTATATAATATCTTTATGCTTATGCAAAACACACCAAAGCAACTTCCTTGTATGTGTAATTTCTGATGACTTCCTCTGAGAGAAAAAGGCTGACAACCCATTGTGAAATCTATGCGACATCTTTCTTCAACAACACAAGGATTTAAGTGGTGCCCCTCAGTTTTGGTAGTGCAGCATAAAGTTTCTCTCCTGGACATTCTGTGTTAGCCAAGTCTCTGTGTCCAAACAGAGCAAAGTCTTTACACAAAAAGCCCTGGGAAACTCCAGACTGCAGCAGCTGCTTGACCGCCAGTAACGCCTCTTCGCTTGGTTCATCATCTGAAATCAAAAACAAAAAGCATATTATCTCTGTTCTGTAAGATCAAAACTGCAGCTCTTTATGCTACTATACACTATAGACATAATGAGCTCAGAGGTGGGAAGAAACAAAATATAAATCCTTTATTTTTTTAGTCTCTACATTTTAACACAAATATCTGTACTTTCAACTCCTTACATTTTGTAATCAGGCTCATTACTTTCATTTTAATTCATTTGAGAGGATTTTTTAAAGATGATTTTGCATTATTGAATGTCTCCTTCCAATCAGGACAGATTTCAACCTGAATGGACAACAACACAGAAAAGACGATTCCTTGTGCTACATCTCTTACACACGCCCTAAGTAACACGGTGTAAAAGACGCATCAAGACGAAACAGACAGAGGGAGATTCTACGAGACGAAGAAGCAGAGCAACAAAACATTCTCCATCCCTGGCCTTATTCAAATTAAGAATACTTCTTTCAACATATTGTACACATTTCCTCCTGGAACATTTTCAATGCTCACAAATCTTTTCTTGCTTCAACCTGTTTTTAGTTTATTGCTTCTTATCCTATTTGAACTAAGAGTGGTTTAACAAGTCTCAAATTATATTCATTTGACGTGAGTCTCCGTTTGCTTTGCACAGATACAGCTGGTAGAAATAAGGGAAACTTTAAACTTCCTGTACCTTTCAGTGCCTCTACTTTTCTACTTTTACTTGAGTAAAGAGAGGGCAGAGGGTGTCGCACCTTGTTAAAACCTTTGAGGCACATCTGTGAATGTGGGCAATACAAATAAAATGTGAACGATTGTTTGACTTCAACTTGAGTAAAGACTGTGTGTACTCCACCTCTGGGTGTGCTGTTGTATCAATACAATGGCAAAAGAAAATAGCTTACTGTTGAAATTGCCCATGAAGGCAATGCCCAGTGAGTCATGATTGTTGCCTTTGGAATGTGCCCCCAGAGCACCCCAGCCACGACCCTCGAACACGATGCCGTCTCCTTCAACGAGAAAACTGAAACAAACACAAAGTATTGCTGAGAATCTGTTAAGACTGAAAACTGGCAGAAATCAAACGTCCATGACGAGTTAAAGGCAAAGCTACTCACTTATATCCAATGTCACTGAAGCCTCTCTCTGTCATGTGAGCTCTCTGGATGCTGAAGATCTGCTTCTTACACTCCTCCAGGCCTCTGCAGCTTGGGAAAGCAGTGTGGTGTATGACAACTCTCCTGGCCGAGCTCTTCAGTCTCTCCTCCTGTTCAGGTGGAGCTGCTCGCCACTGTGCCCTTGACACAATCCTCACTTAAAGACAATCAGAAGCATATTCTAAATTAAAACGTTGACTTACCTCTCCATTAAAAATGTAATCAGCAGTAATCATTGAACTAGATACGGCTGTTTGTTGTCATACCGTTTTGCTCCATGACTTGGTGCCTGTTGTCTTCAGTTGTGCTGACTGACGAGCAGCGGAATGCAGCTGCCTTATCAAAGAGCCTGGTTTTTCAGGAGGTGTGGTCATGGGCAGTACACTTCCATGTTATTTTCCATGCCTGAGTAATCGTCTGCAGTTACACAACAACTGAAATGGTTTGGAATATACATTTGTAGAAAGAGGAAGTGGGATTGAAACAAAATATTCAATGTGGTTAACTTCACGTGAGAAACAAATAAGGTGTAACCCTGTAAACTGTATTGAAAACTGTAGATGACAATTATCTCTCTATGCTGCCAAAAGCATGTGTGTGTGTGTGTGTGTGTGTGTGTGTTTAAATAAAGACTCAGAGACATCTTAAACAACTGATTCTTTTAATCTAACAAAACACATCTGAAAATGACAACTGTTAAAAAATAACTGACACGAAGATCAGCTTCACTCCGTCCACCTGTGTCCACAGTGAGGAGCCGTACAGACGTAGTACAGTCTCATGGCGTCCTGGAGGAAAAACACAGCGTTTGTTAAAACAGTACGTCTTCTATTTAGTTTATGAAATCCAAACAGAAGATTTGTAGATGACAAAGCCAATATATTTCCTTTCTGACTTTTTAATAATTGACTTTGGTGGGATGGTGGGTGTAGATGAAGATGTAGTGTAGATGAAGGTGGGCAGTTAGGTACAATATTGCACTCAAACCGTTTCATTAGCAAGTTGAAAATGACGAGCTGACCTTAGAAGGCTGATAAACTCATCCAGACACACCTTATCTAAAGACTACAGGTCATGCACAGTGTATTTAATTCATAGTTACCTCTGCCTTCATACTGTGGGACTGGAAGAACACTGCCTCCTTGTGACCACATCTGGGAAGAGACATGGTTTGAGCAAAATGTCAGAAAATACTTTTCACAACCAGTAAGAGTCTAAAAGTAAATCACTGTGTTTTATAGGTAAATGAATGTTTATGCAGGGGAACAAATACTACGTTTTTCAAATGTGTACCAAAACTATTCATTAAAAATACAAGAGTGTCACTCAGTAGATTGCATACTTCCAACAAGGCCCAACAGTTACCTTATAGAACCATGTTTAAATTTACTATATCCGTATTTTCTCACACAATGATAAGGTCTTTTCCCCTTGTTATGCCCCACCCCTCCACAAATGTTCATGGAAATTGCTTGAGTAGTTTTTCATAATCCCACAAACAAACAAAAAATGCAGACAAAAACATAACCTTCTTGGGTAGTCAGTGATGTCATTGGACTCAACAACATTTAAACATTATATTAAGTTTTCTTCTGTCTCACATATAACAAGAGGCAACTTGTGAAGTCTGATATCAACACTGAGTCAAATCTATGGTGGCTGAGAGAGCTCATTGCAAAGCAACTTAATCTTAATACTCAAAACACAGCTAAATACAGAAAGGTACAAAGTGAGACACAAAAAAAGCAATGGACCCTGATGGGACACACAAAAGGCCACAACTGTGTAAGGAGCACATATTTGCAACAAATGGAGAAATAGAAAATACTACATTGTCTACCTTTATCAAGGCAGAAATGTGTCTTTGCTTACATGTGCAAAAAGTGTAATTAAAAGGTAGATTCAAATATCTGAATATAAACACAATGTTGAAACAAGAAAATGTGGAAACAAACAGTCTGTACTACCAATTCAATTAAAAGAGGTTAGCTGGTTGGTCAAGAATTAAACACCCAGTAAATAGAAGGCACGCAATTAATGGGAGATCCTGAAAATGCTCAAATTTAATTAGAATTTTGTCTTACATTATTCAGGTAGAGAGAAGGAAATTTTGTGTGTGGTATAACTCACTTGGGACAGGGATGATCCTCTGTTCTTGGTAAAGTTGGATCCTGAGATACATCAGCGATGATCTGCGTCAGCTCACTGCAGAAAAAAAAAAGTTGAATATGCAATGTCAGCACATTGGAAACATGTTTCTTTCAACATTTTGGTTCCACCATGATGGAAAAGCCATGTAATGTCCATGTGAAGAGTTATGCACACTTGTAATAATGTATTAGTTGTTACACAACAAGCAGGTTACATATAAAAACAGAAATGAAACTAGGATTGATAAAACTGTATTAAGTAACTTTTCAAAATCACATTCTTAGTCATTTGTTGGCCAGTGTGGTTTATATTACTCACTCAACCTCGTGTGTGATCTTATTGACGTATATGCAGCTGTTGTCTGCCTCTTGTTGGTAGTCACAATTCCTGCACTGTGGGTTGAGATCATTCCAATTACAAACAAAACAGGACAAAACGGTGGACATTTATGCACACAGCCGTCTCACAAGCTCTCAAAGCAATCAAAACTGCAGTGGCAGGTCAGCAAACAGCGGCAGGTCAGTGGCAGCTGCCACGTGAGGTGTCTGCTCTCTTCAGTAGGGAACACTCATCACAGTCTTGCTGTTCATTTGGTTTCATTACTCAGCAAAAAATACTTAGACCTCACAACTCTTATGAGGATGTATTTATTTATTTAATTTATCTGT